CACTGGGATTTTTTTAGCGACTAACGAATTCCCATTCTCTGTTTTCCTTATCAGTAAAACTTTGCCGAATGCACCTTTTCCTAAAGTGCGCACAACCCGAAACTTCGGTTCAGCAGTTGGTTTTTGGGTAGCAGACATCTGTTGTATTCACTGAAGTTTTAAAAATTGAAAAAAATCTGTGAAAAACAGCTTAGAATTATAAAATGAAAAATAGAAATGAAACAGGACAAATAAGAGGCTGTGGCACAAAATCGATGAGTGGGGACAAAAGAAAGTGTATGCGAGTGACCCGAGAGAGGATGAGAATGAAGAGGCAAGTGGGCAAAGAGATGAACAGATGGCCACCTCCTCCACTCTTTTCAAATGGCCACATTTTGGCGGGCTGACCTTAGATGAGATGAGGAGATTAGGGAAGAGGATCACCTCACAGTGGCATATCTCGCTGTGTAAAGGGCACCCCCTCTCTATCTAATCCCTTTTTCAAATCGTTCCATTTGGCTATTCATTCTACTTTTTTTGTGCGGAAATAACGTATTTTTTCTTGATTTTTACTTTTCTGTCTTCTCAATTTTCACTTCTTTCAGATGACGGAGCAACAAATCATCAGAGATCAAGAAAATCATTTTTTTCTGAATTTTGTGGGTGGAAAATGTGAGGAAACAGAAACACCGTTAATTATAAAAGCCGTTATTGATGAATATATGTCATCTGGCACCTCTCTCACCTTTGGAGCATTGAGAAAATGTGTTGATGACTTCAAAACACGTATTTGTCAGCTGAAGGAGTTGGAAGTCAATTCAAAAGTGAAGCTTCTGTATGGATTGAGTGTCTCAGTCAACGTGAAATGTCTCAAAGAGTAAGCCAGAACACTTTCCAACAAGATAATTTTTTTCATGCTTGCGAAAGGGCCGGGCCGACGGTTTTATTCGGCACGGCCCGCTCGGCCCGCATTTCAACGGGCAATAGATTTTTCAATTTTTTTTGGCTAAAAATAGTTTTTTCTCTACAACTTTTAGCTAAATTTAAAACATTTTTTTGAAAGGGTTTGGAGCATTATTAGTAAGCAAGATACGGTTTGAATTCCAAAAATCATGTTTTTTTCGGTTTCCCACTCTTAACACCAAGAAAAACATTTTTGCTGCTGAACCCCGGGCTGAGAATTTGAAACTTTGTCCCGGCCCGGCCTGGTCGCTTGCATTATAATTTTTTGTCACTTTCAGACTTCGAAACGTTGCTCATGTCGACATTGATAAGCGCCGACGGATAACTAAATATATTGCAAATGACGGAAGTCTGAGATTGGAGGGAAGTCATGTGAAGAGCTTTCAAACGATGAAAACTGTGAATACTGAGCCTGACGAAGAAGAGAAGGAATGTGAACGGGAAACTACAGATGTTGCACCAGTACCCAAAAGATCAAGAAAAGAGAGATCAGCAGACGAGCCAATTTTGGATTTGGTTGCTTCAGATAATGATGAGAATAGACAGGTTGTTACAATCGGAGGAAAGCCTCCAAAACAACAGCACCAAAATGTGTAAGTGAATATTAATGAGATAATAGTAACTAAACGCTTAGGAAGCTACAAACAAAAAACACTCTTTTGTCGACTTGAACACGGTTTTACAAACTACAGAAACTATATACTGACAATTTTTTAATATCGTTTTCATTTCAGGATTGCTGTTAAACCGGAAGTGATTGATGAACCTACTCTGAATGTTGCAATCAACAAAAAAGATCATTCAGAGCATCTGAATCGGAAACGGTAAGTAACTATAAGTGAAAAATAAGTTGAGCAAGATGAGACTGAGCACAATTCTATCGACTACATACTTTAAAGTACACAATCACACTACTACAAAATACTGACAGTAATCTTCCATAACTGCAAGTTGCAAACTGAAGACTATCAACAACTAACAGCAAACTATCATCTTATTCGTTTTGAACAACAAAACCTATGAAATTAAAACAGAAATCTTCCGAATATCAACTTCATTTCAGTATCTTGCCGCTCGCTGCCCGGAAAGAATTCCTTTATTATCTCCTTGATTCGATAAAGCTGATGAATCTACCAGTAAACGAGAACATGTTGGCAAGATTGAATGGAATGATCTCTAACATTGAGGAGTTCCAAAAAATAGGCCTTCAAGTGGAGCGAAAGGTTGAGATGGTAAAGTTCCATGCGATTGTTCTATCAGCTGTCACTATCAGTGTAAAGAACGCTTCCGAACAGAACCATGAAGACACTGGAAGCTTGAGAGAATTTTTGATGTTGATGGAAATGGGTGTTATGTCACTGGAATTGCCGGAGCTTCAGGAGTTGCAGATGAAAATAAATGAGTCTTTGAATGACCCAGCGAACCAGAATAAGGTATGTTCTCTCAAAAATAGACGAAGAAAATCGAAAAAAAAAAACTGATTTTCAGAGAATTCATGTACGCAGTATTGAAAAAGCTTTGGAGACAATTTTGGAAATATTTGTTACAAAACGCTAAGATTACTGAAGTGAATTCATTTCCGTTTTTGGCTTTTTTTTTCATACTCTCTATTCTCTATTGACTTAGACAAATAAAGTATTGGTACTATAAACACTTTTCCTGTCCGGACCCCAAAGACACAACAATATTGCCCTGCGATTGAATCCCTGCGTATAAGTTTGAACAAACCCTCATTGAATAGCATGTTGACAGGAAGGGTGAATGGATGGAATCCAAAGTTTGAGGCGATGCTATTTCAATGTTTTACAAATACCGTGAACATACCAGATATGTTGAATGTTATCAATTATCATGAAATAGTGGATGATGACTTCGGTTCAGAGCTGGATCAACATTTTAGAGAACGGACGACTGGAAACGAAAACTTACCAAATTCAAAAAAAGATGCCGAAGTCAGGGCCAATTTGAATTTTGCGCCTTTCAATCATCTTTATGGTCAAGTTGATTGTTCAACATTAGGTATAAGCATGTTTTCCTTTCTCTGAAATTGGCTAAAATCTTACATTCTCAAAACATCATCACTATGGGTCCGCAAAAAATTCGTGCACTACTTCCAGAGCTTATAAAATTAGAAATCAAGCTCCTATTGAGCTGAGAATCAACCAGATTAATGTTTGTATGCTATCAAACATGAGATTACATTTTTATCGAGTTTGGACAACATTGGCGCTCATGGCTTACGGTCCCGTCAAGTGGATGATGAGAGCGCGGCACGGCACTCTCCATTGCAGCAAAAAAAAGATTTTTCGAACCGGTGGACTACCCTTATCTGGTGATTTTAGTTTCAAAACAATGCGAGTTATTTGGAAATCAAGTGAAAATACTTTAGAGCCTTGAAAATTTTGGTTACAATACCTCACCGACTATTCTTTCTTGTCTAACCATCTTCGTAAGTTACTTCAAAAATCCATGTGCCTTTTGACAGTATTTTAACTTTCATTTTTTGATTGACACAGTTAGATTGTCCATTTCCTTCTTTCCAAGGAACCTTTACAATTCTCCAAAACACCTGCTCCTGTTATCTACCTTACTCTCTCCCCATCTCCAAAAAAGAGGGTGTGCACTCTTAGAGACGCAGAGACATGACCTCGCATATTGATCACAAATCCAGAGTGACGTCTTCAAGAGGGAAGGGTAGACGCCCAGTACAGTCTTCGACGCTCCATTTCTATTCCTCTCTTTGTCTTTGTTTGTGTTCTGCATCTATTGATTTTTTCTCGTACATTTCTTTGTTTCCTTTTTTGGCTGGCTAAGACATATACATTTTTCAGCTCAAATAATTATGGCGTATTTCAACGTTAAAAACTTCGACAAGCTGATGGATCAACTCGGAAAAGGAGTGGATGTAAGTTTAAAATAACTTAATTTGTTCAAGTATCACAATGTTTCAGATGCTGAGTTGCCTGGAATCACTATGTGTTTTCGAAATTCCATTAGAGGTTGCTGAGAAGCACCAATTTCTGGAGAAAATAAAAAAATTGGCGCCGTACGCTCCAATGACAATTTTGTGTGGACAGATAATACAAAAATTGGAAAAATCGAGAAGTGAAGATGCGAAGAAAAAAGCGAAAAAGGAGGCGATCAACGAAAAAAGGCGGATGACTAGAAAAAGAAGAGCCGACGAGAAAAAGGAATTGGAATCAAAGAAGATTAAACTTGGAGGCTCTGATCTGTTGGACCAAGCAGCAGAAGGAGAAGTTGCGGTAGGAGCCGGAAAAGCAGAAGTTGCTGATGCTTTTAAGGATAACACTGCCGCTTCCAAATCCGGCTCTCAGAAGAAAGCTCCCAAGAAACCATCTTTGCTTCAGAAATGCATGAAAGATGCAATGAAGATCAAAAGGCAATTCAAATAAGTCATTTCCTATTTTATTTTTTCAATCCTTCTTGATGTTCGTATACGAAATTGACTATGATATTCAATTTGAATTTTCACCTATGTTAATAGTTTTTTTTTCCAATTGTTTTAATGAATAAAATAATGAACCAGTTTTGGCGTTCTCATACAAAGTTTAATTGAAGATTCAAATATCGATTCAACGTAGAACATTTAGGTTTTGATCAATCCATCAGATTCTTTTTCTTTTATCAATACCCTCAACTATCTGTATGGAATGTGTCAGTAGGTTGGAGCGTAGGCAGACTGGCAAGTCGAAGGTCTCAGGGTCGAGCCCAACTAGGTGCAAGTTTGTTTTTTTTTCTGGCAGAAGATGATTCGAAATGCGTTTTTATGTGTTTCCATAGCTCAGTGTGTCGGGGCATGAGCAAATTCAGAGAACGAAAGCCACGGTTTCGATCCCCACTGGTAGCAAATATTTCTAGTTTTTTTTCTTTAGGCAGTAGATGATTCAAAAAGTGTCCTCATGTATTTATATAGTTCTGTCGGTTCCAGTATTGAAAAATTCACAGTCCACAGGTCGCAGGTTCAAATTCAACTGGTGGCCAATCTTTTTTTTTTTTTTCTTCTGGAAGAACACACTTCAAAAAGTTTTCCTTCATGTTTTTCAATGGCCCAGTGGGTCACAGCGTTGGCGATTGTACGAACCCGAAAGGTTGTGGGTTTGATCCCGACTTGAAGAAAATTGTTTTTGTTTTTTCTCCCAAAATCATTTATTTTTCCAGAAAAAAAACAATCACTTATAAAATTACCAAACATACATATGCATCACGCGCTCAGAAATTCTCAAACAATTATACAAAAAAGGTTACATTCAATGCAAATGGGGCACACGAAATTAAGAAGGCACAAAAACAGAGAATTAGGAGCACTAGCGATAGACAACTGACGATCCCCTCTCTTCATACTCTTCCTTCGAAATGCACACTTCTTGGAAATTAGGGATAGAAGCAATGAAGGATCCACCACTCCAAACCGAATGTTTATGATCTTTAGCAGCCGCCACTCTGACTGTCATTGAGCTGAAAATCAGAAAATACAGTTTAGATTAGAAAAAACTTGAAAACGAACCTTGGAGCCAGTTATCTCATCTCCTGTTCCAAACGTTCACGTAATCCAGGGAACAAGGTCGATCCCCCCGAAAGAACGATGTTGGAATAGAGATATTTTCGGTGATCATGGTCGCAAGTCAGAATCGATTTCTGGCACATGCGATGAAGACCAAGAGTTTCCATATTGATGAGAAATGGCTGAAAATATGATATTAGGTTTTCCATTTTTTTTTATTTTCCTTCCAATAACCCTAACAGTTTCTGTTTAGAAGTTTTGAAGGAATCCAAAGACGAACACCTTTTTTAAAGATTTTTCTCACCTCAAAAAAAGCCTCTGGGCACAGGAACTTCAGGTTCTCAATGATGTTTGCCTGGCTATCTTCAAGAATGTAAGTTGTCCCAATTCCAGACTCACTGTTCATCCTCTCCCGCCAAATCGGTGCAACGCAACAAGATTGTTCTTTGAGGTCCTGAACACTCTTATATTTTGATGAGAATCCTCTCCCCGCGAGCAAAGTTGACAAGAAGTCCGTGAGATGTTTTCCTCCCAAATCCAGACGGAGATACGTATGGGGTATAACATCGCAATCAAAGATGGAGACGATATCGGTGACTCCTTTTCCCGAGTCAACGACAAGCCCGGTCACGCGACCACTGTGTAAAAGCGAAAGGAGTGTCGCCTTTTCAACATAATAAGCAGGGACATTAAATCGTTCGAACATGATTTCCGTCATCTTCTCCTTGTTGGCTTTGGGATTGGATAGACTCTCGGCGAGAAGGACAGTATGTTCTTCCGATTTCACATGGAGCTCATTCTTGAAGGTGTGGTCCATCAAAGAAATCACGTCTTCCCAGTTCGTCACTGTCCGATTTTTGATAGGATGATTGATCGGGAGGCTCTCGCGCCTAGATTGAGCTGCATTCCCAACCAACGAGTCCTTACAATCAGCTTCATCAACATGCAAGCCGGTGTTGTGGCTAGGACGTTCCTTCATAGCTGGAAGGATCGTACGAGGGGCTTTCTCCCCGGAAAATCCGGCCTGCAAAAAAGTATATTTGGTAGAACTGACGAATAGAAAGCACTTAACATAAAGTTTACTTCGAGAAACAGTCTTACAACCCCTGTGCAAAATTAAAAAACAACCTCGTTTATGAGGGTAGAGAAAGGCGTTTTTCTTTTGCCCGTGTGGCACAAACTGATGTGAAGTGTAAGTTCGACCCCACATATGATAATCGTTCTTGTCTTATTCCAAAAAATGGTAAATTGACGAATTAGTACATTCACCACATCTTACGTCAAATCTCGTATTTTCTTTAATTTCTGCGCCACGAGGCTTTCCTGACCGGCCACCTTTAACGGGCTTGAAAAACTTCATTGTTTGGTGAAAAATATGTCATTAGCAGCTCCATTAAAACTTCAAGCTTTAGGTTTACGCTGACTTCTTATTTTCATTAGCTGTCTCATAACGCATTTTATCATATGAATCATTGAATGATTGCTAGCCCTCGGAAATAAAATATTGCGTCATCTGCTCATACATCATTCAGAAATCAATCACGTCATCTAATTTCCCAACCAGTTTCTGATCTGTGCTAGCTTGACTCAAACTGACACTTTCCCTCTTTTTTCCTACAAAAAAAATAAAATGGCCATCCCGCTTTTCCAAAATTGAATGTCACGTCATTTGTTGTTGATTCAACTGACAGAATGAAAAACTATGATGTTTGATTTCTAGTCATTCGCTAGGTCATCCTATATTATCTTCGTAAACTAATAGAATATTCTAGTGTTAGGCAAAAAAAAAACATCGAAAAATGAATCATCGGCAGAATCTCTTCCTCCTCAGTTATTGTAACGGTTTCGCAATGAAGCTTCATAGTCTCACTCACACTGTTATCGAAATTTATGAGGCGATGACACGTCATCTGTTTTTGATCTATCAGGCTTAATGGAACATTCTGTTGTTCGGTTTCTGATCATTCGGAAATTATTCATTGCTACATCCCCTCGCAAGAAGGTTCTAGAACTTCGTTATCTGATGAGTCATAATTTTTGCCCTAACGCATTTATAGAAATAACTGTTAGAGCGAGAAGAAAGGATGAGGTTGGTTTATCGCCTAATATTCAGTTTTACCCTTGCGGAATTAAAAAATACTCTTCACCGATTCATTTTCTATAATCTCATCACTATTTGATATCCCAAAACTAACCTTAACACTCGTAGAGCCCAAATCGAGCACGATTGGCTTCTTATCCATCTTGGGGTCCACTTCTACAGTTATCTTGGGAGCTTCTGAAAAAATTATTTGAGATATTGAGGGAAAAACTAAAAGAGGATAGAAAGCATTGAACGTTTCGCAAGTCCGAAAAAGGTCCGAGAAATTTCTGTCGAGCGAGGGAACGAGGAATATCAATCGGAAGAATAATTTAAAAACTATGAAAATGAAGAATTGTGTTGTCTATTTATACGTTTTCGGAATGGGTGGAGCGTACGAGATTGTGTTGCGACTCCGCCCCTTTTCAAAAGATTTGAGGCGTTGGACGGGAGCAAAAGGCTAGAGAAAAACGAAGAGAAAATAGTGCAGATTGTGGAGACCGCAGCAAAATCAAGTTTGCCTCAAAGTTCAAAGTATGAAACTCTTGAACCAGTTTTGAACTGCACTTTGATCAAATTCCAGTTGAGAAAACTTTATTTTTGACCATAACGTTGAGAAAACAGGAATGTAAAAGAGTCCCATCTGTTTGGTAGCAAAGTTAGCGGGAACGAAATGGAATGAAGCATGCCTAGGTTCAATTGGGAATTGAATGCTTATCAATACCTGAACGTATGGTTTCAGCAATATTTGAAAAACGGAGAAGAGAAGGTTTATTGAAACTTTTTTCGAAGGTTTTCTTTTTCAAGTACCTTGAGGAATCTACGCCTCTCGCTATTCTCACATCCAGCCACTTGTTTGGAGTCGTTACTTGTAATCGGAAAGGTCACCTTACACAATGATGACTCTATCGCTAAGGTCTAGTTGACTAGCCTGCATGGTAGTCAGTTTCTGATCATTACGAAATTATTGAGTGCCACGTCATAATTTCCTGCTTCTATACTGAGCAACGTGATCATTGCAACTCCCTCTGTTATTTTCCAATTTGATCTAACAGAACATTCTGGTGGTTGGTCTTTAGTCCTTCGGAAATCATTCAATTCCACGTCATAAAGCAATACCTTCCTCACAAAAAGATTTTGAAATTTCAATTTCAAATGAATCATTCTTGTTTCTGGAACATCGTATTAGTTGATCACCGATCACTCGGAGATTAGTCATTGCTACGTCTTTCTTAGCTCATTCCCTCTTCCTCTCTCTCCTTTTTTACATGGTAATGAAACATACGCTAACTCGGAACATGTGAGAAAGGGTTACCTTGTAATGAAGAAATTAGATAATTCGGCAGAAACCTTCCGAAAGATTTGCCAAGCGGTTCTGTCCTAAGCTTTTGCGGTTCTTTTTATTTGGTAGCAAGAAAGAAATCAAAATAACTGAACACAATGAAGTTTTAGAAAAAAAAGTGATTGCACAGGACACACAGACATAATGAAGTACAGTAATGCCGAGGAAAAATGAATACAAGGATAGGAAAAACATATGCAATGGGAATGGCGAACAAATAATGTTGAACTGGTTTAGTTATTACATAAAGCTTCAGATAATTGGAATATTTTCGTTCTTCTGTTCCACATGATTCTCGACAGTAGCCAAACGTGTAGATGGAGAGGATGGTGCCGTACTATAGTCTCTGGACCGAAGGCTTTCTTCAGCTACACGTGCAGTATAATGAACTTGTGACATATGGTAATAGTCATTCTTACCCTGAAAAAGTGAATCCAAATGAACAATTATACTCAACAATTCTCATTCTCACCTTGCAACAGATATCTCCAACACAATTCCAAAAGACGAATAAAACACATGCAATCACAGCCACGGATAGGAAAATCGCAATTACAATCGTACTCATTTCAAATTCTTCTCTGTAGTATGGGAACGTTTTGGTCTTGTATTGTTCCGCAATTGCTTTAACATTCTCAGAGCCTTGCATTGTAAAATGGTAAGTGATGGTAAAATTTCTTCTCATGCCAGAAAAGATAGCATTCTCATCATAAGCTTTGAAATCGATGTTGCTTGGGAGATCAGGACTTCTATGGATCATTAAGTCAGAGCAATCCATCATGACGCCTACAAAATATATGTTCGTAGAGAACTTTCTCGTGTTCTATTCACCTTCAATAGCATCCTTCTCGGCCCCAGTTTTGATGATTGTAATTTTCAAGCAAGCATGATCACATTCAATTGTGTTGATCATTCCTTTGACACAATTCGTATCCTTCCATTCTTCAATCCATCCCATTGACATTCCGACTTGAGAATCTTGCATCAGATTACGACGAAAGAGCTGAAAAAGTGTATCAATCCAATGGCACCTAAGAAAATGCAGATACTGAACTCTGAATTTCGGAATTTTCGATTTTGGTTCTCGAAAATAAATTTCGTACTTGGAAATTGCCAGGCCATTCTGAAAATTTCATCGGCCCGGCCCGGTCGTCCCGTGTTTTCAGAGCTGATTTTTCAGTAAGTGATTTTTG